ACGAGAGAGAGAGAGAGAGAGAGAGAGAGAGGTATGTATTAAAAGAAGAGTAAGAAGAAAGTTTTGAGTTCTTTTCACTTTGCAATATAAACTCCAAGTAGTTGTCATATCAATCCTCTTCTCCTCCTCCTTGTAGTAAGTAATACTATGCCTTTCCATCATTTTTCATCACTTGTTCCATGGGTGGTTTCATCCCCAAAGTAGGGTTTCAAATCTTAATCCTCATTCTTTTGATTCTAATGGCTTCTTCACTAGGAGAAGAACCCCATAGAAGTGATCCCTCTGATGGAAAACAAGAACAGCAGGTGTATAAAGTGAAGAACTCAAGGCCCAAGGTGCAAAGCCCCAGTGAAAAGGGATTGGATAAGAGACCCAAAAGCTGGAAGATGATCCCATTCAATGAAATGCTCCCCAAAGGTTGGTTTCCTCGTTCCGGTTCTTCGCCATGTCATAACGACACGCCGGATTCTTTAGAATTCTTCGAATGCAGCCGTCCCAGGAGAAGGCCCTAGTCTTATTCTTTTCTCAGGGGGGTGACCACTTTGTAGAGGAAGTCCTCATAGATTTTCTCTTTAGGGTTGGCTCATAAACCTCTTTCTTATTATGTGAGTACATACCTACTGCTTCTTCTTCTTCTTCTTCTTCTTCTTTTCAACCCCCCGCCCCCTCTCTCTCTCACACATATATTAGCTCCCTTTCAATTTTTCTGATTCAGGCTTGTATCAAAGTGTAAAGATGAATGATAGTAAAAACTAATCCCATGTTTTGGCGCTTCCAACCATGCTCAAGAAGGGGGATATTCATGAATAAGACTAAAATATATATTTTTATTTTCTTTCTTTTCCTGAATAGAAGGGGGAATAATTCTCCATTGTTCCAATATGTGAATAAAACCTGAATGAAGCAGAACTTGCTTATGATAAAGGGACTTACCAAACAATGCCTTTTCCTTTTATCAATATGTTAATTAGTTAATGGAATTTATGAATGAATAGCAAGTCAGAGCTAGCCTCTTATGCTTGATTCAATAAGGCTCCTTTTCTTGAAGGAAAAACATCGCCATGTGGACATGTAGGCGCGTGTTTGGCAAAAATTTCAACTTTGGAAGCCAAAACCTCTGAACGTTTCAGCCCACGGGAGGCATGGAAAAAGATGGCTTTCATTGTTTCCCTCATTGTTCTAGAAAAAGGGAGAAAATGAAAGCCGCGCCTTCCATGCCCCCCATAAGAGCTGAATTGTTCGAAGGCTTCGGCTTCATAAACCAAACTTCCACCAGATAATTATGCCAATATATCAACAAGTATGACATGTGGTTCTTTACCTCCATCTAATCAATCGATTGGATGATGAAAGAGGGAGGGTATGGACACACAACTCCATTAATGACATTTGAGGTTGGACCCACCCACCTCCTTCACTGTCCAAACAATTGATTGGATGGTGATAACCTCATAGTTATGGTATCATAAAGCCCATATGTTTCAGTCTTCACAAACATGGGACTTAGGCTAGGAAACTCTAGAGCATGGGTCCCATGTTTTGATTCAAGGTGAGCCTCAAGTCGGACTAGATATTTTAATCACATAAATTGATCATGTGATTAAATAGTTGCCAACTCAAGGCTAGTCGCAAGGATTCACCTTTTTTATCCGATCCAACTCAGGCGTGTCCTGCCAATGAATTTTTAATCACTTACATGGATTGTGTTTTTTTTTTTGGGGTAATTCAATGATAGGAATCGAACTTGAGATGTATCTTGGTGAAAAATCATTATAAGGATCATGGTGAATGGACGCCTTTGAACTTTTGGTTGGAAAAGAAATAAAAACTTACAATTCTTTGTGCATGAAAAGTGAATTGGGAAGTGTAGAAAAAAAATAGGGTAAACCATGTGAGACTCCATAATTTGGGGATAATTTGGGGTTCTAGATTTAGGGTTTAGTGCATGGCATTCAGCTGCGTGCCTTGCACTCCATTCATGCAGGACCCGGTCTACAATGCATTTAAGTGTTTTTTCATCCCAAGATGCTACTGTGTACTGAAAACAATGAAAAGTATTAGAAATGGATCGTTTATAATCTGCAGCCTCGGAGCCACTTAGAAGGGCTTCTCTTTGTCCTCGATGGAATTTCGGTTCCAAATTAGAATGGGCAGGAATACCATAGTCCCTAGGGAACTTTACTATACACTTACTCCCTCTTATAGATGACATATTTGGAAGTATTTCTTTTCTTCTTCTTTCACGTTCTACAATTTTGGGAACCACCTAATAATCAGTACATTATTGTTTTTATGAACAAAAAAATTAGGATTTTGAGTTGACTGACTTGTGGATCTCACCCTCCTAGAATTGGACATTCAATCTTGAGATCTTTTTTTTTTTTAAGCCCATGGAGAGTGAAATTTGGAAAAAGAAATTTATGGAGTTAGCCTACAAGAAGAAGACGTCATATTGGCAAAATGATATCCTAAAAATGCTCCTAGATTGAACTTTACTAGAGGGAGTAAATGGATAGTATACTCCTGAGGAAGTATAAAACTTTTGTCATTTAGAATTGCAGCAACTCTTTCTTTTTAAAGAAAAAGTAAAATAAAAATGATTTGAGTTCGAACACATACTAAAAATGGGGCAATATGTATTCCATCTGAGAGGTGATTTTTTTACAGGAGAAATGCTACTAGCTAGTATATATCTGGAGGGTGCAAATGTACAGTTTGCTTACACGGGAGTATAAAACAGTTGAATAATATAGGGGTTGTCAAGTATTAGCGAGAGATTGTAATGGTGTACCAATAATCTCAATTATTGGACTGATTGTTTGAACTTTGAAAGAAAAACTGTCCCTAAACGATGTTGATAATTTTAAAAGAAATTTATGTTAATGGCTTTTTAAATTACTATAATTTTTTTAAAAAAAATGTCAAATTTGATTTTCATTCATACCTTTTTAATTATTATTAATTTCTTCCGAAAACATTTTAGTTACTGAGTTTAATTTTTTACTCATAATCTTACTTTTAACCTTAAAGGACGAAGTTGTACAACTTTCTCCTTTTTAAAATTCATAGTTGTGGTTATCAACATGACATACCTATACAATTTTAGGAAAATTACATCTTTATTCGTTATATTTTGCGTTCATACAACTGTATCGAATAATTTCTGTTATTACATGTATGTCTATTTTTTACCTTTCATAACGTAAATTTTTTTAAAAAAACGATTTTATCTTTTTTTGGGTATTGAACCCGAATGCAATGTATTTTCGGTTGTTAAACAATATCAGTCACATTTCAAAAAGCTTGTATTGCTAACATCCGAAAAATGGTTTTGTATGTTGGATATCCGAAAGTGTCACATTTTCGGATATTCAACATCCGAAAGTGTCACATTTTCAGATGTTCGACATCCGAAAATGTAACTGCGAAAGTCCTGAAACCTTAAGAAAGGTAAAGTCACCTTTGTTAAAAAAATTACGTTATAAAAAGTAAAAAACGGACAGACATTGTAATAACGAAAACTATTTGATGCATCTGTAATAATACAAAGTATAACAGATATGTACGTAATTTTTTCTAAAATTTTCAATCCCCATGTCCGTAGGTGCACCCCGTGATGCACCAAAACCTTCCCCTTTATTTAATCCTTAACAGTTGTGAAATAATGTTGTGCTAAAAATTTCCTTAAAACATACGATCCCCAATCCTGTACGTACGATACCCAATCCTGCTATGCTCAAATAAAGTATAAAAAAATCCACAGATATTTTTATTAATGGCATTTTTTAATTTCTGATATCTTGCACAAAATGCCATTAATTCAAAATCTAAGAAAACCGCTTTGGCTAGCTAATCTAATACACTCCAAAAAAATTTGGCTATACAATGAAAAAGAAAAAGGTGCTATTCATCATTCTTTCAGCTCAGAGAGGAAAAAGACATAAAGGATTATGTACGGGGACAAAAAAACTATATGAGTTAATGTTGGGTTAAAATTAGGTCAGTCACTTATTTTTTAAAAAGTTACCTCTTGATTCGAGGATAGCCATTTTTTTCTTTTTTTGAGTTTTTTTATGTAGTAAGGTTGTGCCCTTGGGGCAGTGTCCAATCGGTTCGATGTTAGCATCATCAGATCACCTTCTGTGGTGTTCTTCAAAGTGGAACGAGGTTGACATCCTCAAACCGCAAAGACTAATTTTGTTAAGCATTTAGAAGTTGTTCTAGCTGCCCATTCTCAGACCGCCTTCCTTGGCGCTCTTCAAGACAGTGTGCGGTGGCATCCTCAAATTGCATTAAGCTCCTATGTGTGCTAAGAAATAACATGGTCCGAGGATGTCAACCTCAGACTGCCTATTGGATTGAGCCCTGCCCCTCACACTAGGACACTACCCTAGTAACGAAAAAATTAATACATATATATATATAAAGCGGTCCGAAAATGCTATCGTCGGACCAAGGGGCAATTTAAAAAAAAAGAAAAAAAGCAAGTTAGCCAACCTTCCGCATAATTTTTTACCAAAATTAGCCCATTTTGTATTTTTCTCTTTTTGTGTCTGTACATAAATTATTCAAAAAGAAAAAGAAAAGGAGAGAGAGGGAAAAAACGCTAAATATCAACAAATAGCATAACATCCAAACTAACACTTCCTCCCTTATCTACCACATCAACCTTATCTCTCCCAACTCTTTTTCTTTTAAGAGCAATTTCTTCTCAGCCACACATCCTCCATGCTCCAGATACCATGGTTCAATACCATACACCACACCCATCATCCAAAGCACCGGTCACCGGGCAAAGGGCCAGGGATGTAACCCAAGTCCAAGAATTGCCACCCAAACACCGCCAAAATGGCTAGCAAAACCAAGTATGATGTACCCTCAACTGCACCCAAGAGGCTGTAAGGCCCGGCCGTTAGGCCTGACCCAGTTCTAGCCTTGACCCACACTGACCAACCCACCACACCGAACACGGTCAAGTAGCTCAAGCCCTCTAGCGCACCCAACGATCCCAGTGGCCCCGGGGGGAGGCCACACCCAGTGGTCTTGAGCGTGTAGAGCGACCAACCTATGGTGGGGATGGCTACTAGGCTCGATGCTATGGTTACTTTACTGGCCAAGCCGACATCTTCGGTGTCTTGGTCCTTGTCGATCTTGGCCTTGCTCATCTTCATATGAACGGTGGTTCTTTGCCATCTAGTTGTAGGGTTTAGGTGGTGGAGTCCCAGGTAGTGGAATCCATGGCAATGTGGTTAGTGAGGAGATAGCCATCGAGAGAGCCGTGGATGAAAGCTTTTGTGATTCTCTTCAGCCAGAGAGGGGGGAAGGGTAAGGGTTTGGAGTACAAGATATGTGATCCCTTTATATTCTCATATGACCATATGAGAGAGAGAGCGAGGTGGAGAACATGCCATGATCCATACTGTCAGAATGGGCACCATTGCAAGAAAGTTGACAATACCATGTGGTTTTATCACCATCCGATCAATGAAATGGATGGCAAAGAACAGCGGGAACACGCATTGCAATCAATCAATATATGTTGGACCCACTTTCTTCCATCTCCATCCACCACATTGATCCGAGTGAATACCGCTTTACCATGACCTTTAAGGTCATGCTAGGGAGCACAATAGTGTACTATAAAATCCATTCCATAACCCTTGGTGGTTAAATGATCTTAAGGATCACTATTGCCACCCCTTTTTTTTATGAAAAAAAATAACATACTAATCATGATAAAACAACTATAAAACCCAAACATTTTTCTTACAATAAAAATTTCACAACACACCTAAAAGTCCAACTATTTAACATTCTAAACTCAATTTTCAATTTAATTTAAAATACCTTATGAAAACACCCGACTATTGGAATACTTGAAAGCCCCCTTCTTTCCCTCTATTGAGAGAGAGATTCATATAAGAGTGCCCTACAATACAACATTAGAAATAATCGAATGCCCTTTTTCCTACTTTATATAGAAGAGAGATCATTGTCCATATTAAGGCAACTATCGACCAAGTTTAGTTAAACGAAGGCCCCAATAATTAACGTTGTAGAAGAGAAAGGGAGAGAGAGAAAGCAACTATGGACAGTTAATTTAAAGGAAAGTTTCTGAGTCACCTCTTATAAATCTATTTTTGAAATAGATTTTTGGACTTAAAAATAAGGACATATAATCTCTTATATGGAAATTATGAATATAAATAAATAAATAAATTTTAAAAATAAAAATAATAATTCTATTGAAAAAAATTAAAGACGTTAGTTACAATTAGTTTTAGATGGACAGCCTAATTGCATCCATCCTTGAGATGAATACTTTATAGATACTCACGGAACGCAAATGTGGAAATGCGGTCCCCTCGCATGAAACAATTTTCCTGTTTAAAAGAGGGCCCAATTTTTACCAGAGAGAGAGAGAGAGAGGGAGAGGGGCCCAAATGGAAGAGAGAAATACTCGGTAGTTGAAGTAGTACAATGTACAAAGAGAGGCAGGTGGAAGAAAAAGATAAAGAATAGGAGGTCAAAATTGACAAAATATGAGAAAGTATGACCTAAAGATAGGTAGTATAAAAAAAACGAATTCACACATGGCTCACATCACACGTAATAATAAGATTTGTGCACATGGATAATTGAAATAATTAAGTTACGGCCAAGTGTATCATTCTCGTTACGTGTAAACATCAATCATAACCGTCCATTGCTCTTACGTGTAGCCCACAAGCTTCCATGAGATAAATCCTGACCATCCATTCCATCAAAATGGACTTCGAAAAATGAGGAAATGACTTCGACAAAAAAAAGAATAAAAAACGCCCACAGAAAGTAATAGAGAAGCCAATCTCTCTCTCTCTCTCTCTAGAATGCAATAGTCTCTCACTAGAATGAGATTAGAGAATGGACAAATGGCTTCTCCAATCTCTCTCTAGAACCAAGCGACTCTCACTCTAAGAGAGAAATCAAGCAATAGAGAATTGCTTCAACTCTCTCTCTCTCTCTCTCAAACACTCACCTCTTTTGGATGGTATCTAGCCCCTAACCATTCGTAGCCGTCCAATTCATCAAGATCAGAAAGCAGATACTAGATCGGACGGCTAAGATGAAAACTGAATTGAGTGAGGCTAAACATACAACGAAAACTCAAACCCACATTAAGGCCATCCTATGGATGGTCCCTATTATGGATCGTCATCATACAATCTTAAAATCTCCAAAAAATAAAAAAGACTAAAAAACAGGATCTTCTGCACATGAAAAGACTCTCTGAACAACCAAATAAAAAGAAACGGAAACAATTTTGGTCACAATCGCAAAGAAAAACAAAAAACCTGATGCAAACAATTCAAAAAATACTTGTAAAGATTTTGAGCAACTGCACCAGAAGAAACAGCAATCTTAGGATCGATAGAATGAAACATTGGAACGTAAAGAGAATTATAAGCTCAAGCAATACCTCCATTTATGAATTCCAAAATTAAATAATATTTTAATAATAACGGGTGATGAACTCAAAATTCCAAATATTAATAATCATTGCAAAAATATACAGAGAGGCTATGCACCATCAAAATCAGCAAAACCATTATTATATTCACAGCAGAGAAAATTAAAAAATGAAATCCCACATAAAAACAAAGAGAAAAAGTAAGCATAAATCAAAGGAATGTGATGACTAAAATATGAGAACAAACCTTTGTTCTTGTCAGTGTACTCCATTGTAGGATCCTTCAAACTGGTAACCAACCAACTGTAACAAACTGCAGGAAAGAAATCGTTCACATGAATTATTGAAGACTGAGGGAAAAAGATTTGGTCTCTCATTTCAAAGGGAAAGGATCTTCACATGAAACTTTAAAAAAAAAAAAAAAAGATTTCAAGGGGGGGCCCCATGACATGGGTTGTACAAATATACACATGGATTTGAATCAAAGGTCCTGCCTTCAAAAAGGGGCAGTCTGAACTGCTCTCAATCTCTCTCTCTCTCTTTCTCTCTCTCTCTCTCTCAATGCAAGCTCAAAGGGACCAGAGAACAATTTAGAGAAAGCCCTTACGTCTCGAGTATAAGAGATGTCTACATAGAGAGTATAATGTATGGGGGGAGAGAGAGAAGGGGGAGGGGGAAAAAAAGAGAGGGAAATCTTCAGGCTTAGCGCTGCTTAGACGATTTGCCATTCTCGACCACATCATCATCATCATCATCATCTTCTGAGCTTCTTTTCCTTTTGGATTGATGAGGAGGAGGTTGTGATTGAACCCTGTGGCCCTCCTCCTCATCAAGATCCTCCTCTTCTTCTCCATCGTCATCTTCATTCTCCCCAGGGTCCAAATCACTGGCTCCACCTTCGTCTTCTGCTTCTGCTTGTCCAATGGGTTGAACCAGGTACTCAGCACCGATATCCTCTTCCTAAAAGAAATGAAATCGTACATGTATAAGGAAGAGTGAAGAGCAAAATATTTGGCAGAAAAAAACACAACCCAATTTCAGAAAGATAATTCAAAACTTAAAATAACAAAGAAGAGACAGAATGTCAAAGAATTACACTAAAAAAAAAGTGACTACCGAATCACAATATCAGCAACAAATGTAAAGGAACTGAAAACCAAAAGAAAATATCAAACACGTTCCCCAACACAAGACCATTTAATAACCAATAATAAAAAAGGGTATTAATCTGCAAAGTAAAATCTAAAAGCCAAGCATCTTTTTTCTTTTCCATGACATTACAGACCCAGTATCTTTCAGTAAACAAAACCCAGTTCACAGCCAGCAAACAAAAGATAAGGAGTCGGCGATAAGGAGTCGGCACAAGAGACCAGCATAAAAACTTTTATATACGGGTTCTAATGACTTGGGAAATCAATGAGCAGTGCACATTCTATTGGGGGTCAATATGCAAAGAATGGAAAGCACTTATTATATACAACATATACAAATATACATCTACACACACACACACATACAAATGAAAGATCAGCAAATGAAAGCACCAATTAGGGTATTATGAGAGGTAAAATCCCATGTTGATAGATAAAATAAGACTGTACAAGGACAGCAAGAGCAAAAAGTTCCCATCACTACAAGCAAATTAAAGATCTCATCATTAAGGGTACTTTGAAGGGCAATGCAAGGAAAGCGATACAAAAAGGCAAAAGAGCAGAGCTTCAAGAATAAGCACATGCATATAAAATGCTGAAAAGAAGTACCCAATAGGGAAAAGGAGATATTAACACTTAGGACCATAAAAGAACCATAGCAGTGTTAAAGGGCATCAATTCCAAATATTTTCTGTTTTGTGTGTGTGTGTGGTAAGTGGGGGAGGAAATATATATGAAAAGAGACCAGCCAACATGAGGAAGAGGCAGATGCATAGCCATAAGTTTGTGTTGCCATTTGATAAAGTGGTGTCTCGTGTAAATAATTAAATGAACAGAAAAGATACAAAAATAGGAAACATAAAAGCAAACTATAATTCAAAACAAACACAACTTGTAAAGTATTAAAAGACAATAAGTGCCATAAAAACAAGCTCCGCAATAAAGAACCAGCCACCAATGACCAAAAAACTGCAAATAGAGTATATCATAGAAGGGATAAGATCACTCATCTAAATAGGTCCGGGACAGTGAAAATGGCAGGAGGATAGAATAAAAGCCACAAGCATACTCATGCTGATATTCAGCACAAATAATACAAGGCACAAAGCTAAAAACATAAAACAAGGAGATGACCAACTAGCACTTAACCTACACCTCACACCAAAGCTCGACCACCCCATAAAAATACGTGATCCAAACCAGCAGAAAATCCAACCAGCCATAGAGGATATGGCAAACATAACTCCCAAACCTTATGTCCAATAGAAACAACTAATTACCACCAGATGAACATGATTCCTCATTCATTGAAATGTATTTTTTATAGTCACTTTACGCATCATATTTGGAATTGAAGCTATAAATAAGAAGCATCGTTTGTTTTGGTAAGAATGTAACTATAGACATCATGTGTGACACCCACCGCTCTGACCAACTTTACCTAAAGCCCATTTACTATAAACAAGAAGCATCTTAACTAACAAAAAACATATTTCACTTGTAAAATGATAACAATTTGCAAAAATATAGTGCAACAATAATCACAAACAGAGGAAGAGCAACAGACAATGCTTAAGTAGAAGCTTTAAGGTGGAGGAAAAAGTGAAAAATAATATTGATCCATATGTTACAAAACAAGGAAATACAAGATGACTACCCTGAACAGTAAACATACTATGCGAACAAGGGCATAATCAATAGAACAAAACAGCAAAAAGATAACAGTACCAGTAGTCCAAAGAGAAACAAAAATGGTGGGAAGTAGTGAACAGAACTTGTCCACTTAACAAGTAAAATAGAACCAATGTTAACAAAGTCTACTAAAAAAAATCACGGCTGAGGTAATGCAAGCAAATTGATGTTCCAAAAAAAAATGCATATGGAAAAAAACAAAAATCCCATATCTACTAACACCCCACAGCATAAATTAAAGGGAACAAAAATGAACAGTAATCCACAGGGGATATCATACCAACAGCAAGCACTAATAAAAAACAACCGCATGCACTAATAAAAAAAACAACATGATCGGTAAAAATCATATTTAGCAAATACCTAAACACTGTAACAGTAAGGTGCAAGAATATCAAAACAGACAAACAAGTAAATAACACTTAAAAAGTGGTTATGCCGAGTAACAGAACAAAACAGATTTACAGCACATACTCTGCATTTGCAGACATATAACAAAGACCCAACACATTTTCAGAGGCGACTGCATTATTTGAGCCACAATAAGAAATAGGGACATCAATAAGAATAAATAGACAAAGATATCAGCATTATACATGATATTCATATGCACTCATAGACAAATAACAAAAGAGTAACAATTTTTTAGAAAGAGAGATGGAAACCAAACAGCGAAATAGAAAGATAAAAGTATTGGCATGGTAAAAGGGGAGGGAATTCACCTCATCTTCACCATCTTCCTCATCATCATCCCCATCTTCCTCCACACCATGTTCATCTTCCTCACCAATCTCTCCATTTTCATCTTCTTCGCCCTGCTCATGCCCATCAATCTCGCCCTCTGCACTCGTTAGCCTACCTGCAGTACCCAAATCCCCTTCCTCATCAACATCCTCTTCCTCTTCATCGTCGTCGTCATCATCATCATCATCATCCCCACCACCATCATCATCATCGCCATCACCATCTTCTTCTTCCTCTTCAACCCCATCTTCCTCTTCGCTGTCATCCCCCTCATGAACCTCTGCACCATCATCATCTTCATCGATCTCTTCCTCCTCAGACCAATCGCCATTGGCTGATTGAGAAGGAACTGTAACCCTAGAACCACCATTGTCATCCTCCTCATCCTCCACATCCTCCTCTTCCTCATCGGACCCATCCACACCATTCAACTCTGGCGAGTACCTAGCCCTGGCCCTCTCCCCACCATTGATCCCATTCGCCCTAACCCTAACAGTTTCCTCCTCATCCTCATCACTCTCTTCCCCCTCATCTTCATCTTCGTCACCATCAATTATACCCCCATTTGCCTTACCCGAGCGATCCTCGCCATCGATCTCACCACTGCCTGGGTCCTCATCATCTTCGTCTTCATCTTCCTCTTCATCTGATTCAGGTCTCTCATTCTCCTCAGCATCCATCTTGTCCAAGTATTTCAGAGACTTGATCATAGAGAAAACCCTGGATCGATAGTCATGGACCCTAGTTACAGGGCACTCGTAGAGGTCTAGAGAGATGAGCTTTAGTTTGGCTAATGGAGCAAGGTCTTCAAGATATTGGATTCGATTGTTTGAGAGGTCAAGGTCTCTGAGAGAATCAAGCCCTGCTTCCACTAAGAATTCGAGGCCACTGGCTATGCGATTGTCACTGAGAATGAGTTTCTGAAGGTTTCGAAGGCGGGGAAACTTCTCTAGAGAGGAGACGCCAACATTTGCAATCGATAAGAGCTCAAGATTCTGAAACTTTTCAAGGAGACCAGGAGGAGGAAGTCGGCCATGGGCGCACTTCACTGCACCATCTAGTGTTAGGGTTCGAGCTGAGAAAGAGTCGGAATGTCCTTCAAGAGCTGTTTCCACGGCTCTTTCCCAGACTTCATCCATTGTATCAGATCAATGTGAACCAGAAGAAAATTTTCAATCTAAATCTACCAGGGTGAAGATATTCAATTGAACCTCTGACGAAACATCAGTGAAGCAGCTTCAAAATCCAGAGGAACCACTCGATACAACTTGCCCTAAATTTCAAGATCAAATGCACTAGAAAATACAAAGCATGTTAATGCAACGTTTCCACCAAGTAAAAAAGAAAGAAACCTAGAGTTAAGAGAAGCCGCCAAACCCTGAAAAAGGGTTTTCAGATATCCACCCAACTCAAAACCCCCAGATCACCACACCAAATCGAACCTGAGCTCAAACCCCAACACTTCGCATGCAATACTTGAAAACCCTAAACACACCACGGAATCTCATTATCCAGCCTCTGCAACCCCGAGAGCCCCTCTCCACCAAATTCCACCCATCCTCAACACCACAAATCCTAAATCGTGAGATTCAACAGACATGGAAACAAAAAACAGAAGAAGACAGCCAAAAACCCTAATTTCGTTCCTCTGAACCACGGGCTGGACACTGCGTGAGAGAGAGAGGCTTTTGCAAACCCTAACCCTAACCCTAATTTTCCAATTGGGAGATTCTTCGTCTTCTTAAGGGGAGCCCTCGGAGGCTAACTGCTAGCGGTGAACCGCGGTTTCGTAAGCGTGTTTCAGACCGTCAGATGCAGATTGCTCACGATTGTGTCAACATTCATCGTGGACCGTCCAATCATGACCACGCGGATCGATGACGTGGACCAACCGTACGGGCGAGATAGCGTTGGTTGTGTTTCTTTGGGCCTCTCAGGGAGCGCAAAGAAGCACGAGTCCTATCCCCTCTTTTCCGAAGACGAGGTTTTTATGAGTCCTGGGATGCATATGGTTGTTGTGCGTTCCCTTTCATATTCTAATAGCTAAAGGTGGTCGCAACTTTATGTTACCAATGGTAAATTATCTTTTTGTATATTTTTTTAAATTTTCAGTGAAATACTTGATAAATAACATATACCTTCAGCAATTTTTTGAGTTTAAAATTATTATATTATTCTCATTAAAAATACAAAACAATATATGATGAGACTATTTACTTTTTGGTATAAGGTAGTCACAATTAATCTTGACTATTGGATGTGAAATTGATTGGTTGCATTTATTTTATGAACCAACTACAACGTTCAAAAGAAATTTTCTCAAATTTTGTCACACACTCAAGCTATAGATTTCACATTGGATGGTTGTAAGTAATTGTGACCTCTTTATACCAAAAGTAAATGATCACATTGTATACAATCCCTTAAAAATAAATCCCTTCAAAATAAATAAAATTTTAAAAGTAGTTTTTTAGTTCTTGAAAGCGGGGATGAACAATGAAGGATAAATGGATGACTTTTATTCATTGAAATAGTGGGCTTATATTATGTTTTCTTTTGTGAACTTTTAATTTCTATTCTTCTTAGTTAATTTTTGGGAAAATTATCCAGAACCTACTTTTTATGCAACTTACTCCAGTTAACTTTGCTCTCTACTTTTTCCAAAAAACAAACTTTTTATACAAATATCCCCCAAGGGAAAAAGTTCATTTTTATAGACAAAAATGCCCTTCTTGTAGCATGATGCCGGAGCACCCTCAAACAGTGAAGCCCAGTCACAGGGGCTCCGACACTGTGTAAGAGCGGTCCGACAGTGTAACACCGCGGTCCAGCAGTGCGTAAGTGCGTTCCAGTAGTGTAACATAGCACTCCGGCACTACGTAAGTGCGCATTGGCAGTGGAGCATTTTGTGTTACAAGGCTCCAACACTATTTAAGTGAGCTCTGGCAATGTGATACGTACTCCAGCATTGCGTATGTGCGCTCCAGCAGTGGAGCATTCTGAGTCATAGGGCTCCAGCATTGTTTAAGTGCGTTCCGACAGTGTGCTACGGGAAGGACATTTTCGTCTAAAAAAAGGAACTTTTTCCCTTGGGGGGTATTTGCATAAAAAATTTATTTTTTGAAAAAAGTTGAGAGCAAAAGTTAGCTGGGGTAAGTAGCATAAAAAATATATTTTAAGGGATTTTTTATAATTTGCCCTTAATTTTTTGGGCTACCATAATCCAAACTAGAATAAGGTTCTGGATTGCCTACCTATTGTATTGATGTTAATCTAGATCGTCCCAAGCAGAAAAGATTAATTTTTAAAAGTAAAATTTATAATTGGAGGGATTCGTGGGGAGTGGAAGTGAATCACCTATCCACCGAATCCGATCCAGATCATCGATTTTTAAGCCAAGATGAGATCAGTATGCATGCAAAAATCATTCATTAAGTCTAAAAATAATCCCCCTTAGTGCCAACACAAGCATACATTGCTATAGACCCGTTTGTTTGTGGAACTTAAAATGAGTTTGGAGTCAATTGCGGTGAGTCAGTTGACTCATCTGTTATTGTGAGTCTCTTTGTGAATCAAATATACATTTCTAAGATGGACGTCAAAAAATGATGCCTCCATTAAAAGGCAGAATGAATGGTGGAAAAAAAATTCCAAAAACATCATTTTTATTTTAAGAAAAAACAAAATCATATTCATTATGATCATCATAGTTGAGATCAGCAAATCTTAAAAATTTAGATATGAAATCCATTAATTTTAGAGGGGTTGCATATAAATATATGAGTTGGCTAATTCACCAAATACTATTCCTTTTAGTTTTGGGTATAAGACCCATAAAATTCAATAATTTGGTTTTGGATATGAGACCATAAAAAAGCCATGCTAATTAAACCCAATTATGGATGGTGTTTGTTTGAGAAGTCGTTGGACTTTGGTTTGGTGGTCTGACACAAGTCAAGGGAGGTCAAAGATTGGAAGGTTGAGGTTGTTTAAGACTCTAAGCTACCCTACTAAAAGTTGAAGTTGAAAGAATAATAAGCAGTAATTTTAGATAAGGGAGGTTTGTATAAGGTGTAAAACCTTATACTATTGAAGTAAATGTGCGCCTCAAAAGTATGTGGAAAATGTAGTTTTAGTGCAACAAATCCTTGCAATGATATGAAAATCTATTGTTCCCTTCCCCCCCCACCCGATCATGAAATTTAAAGTTCCAAAAATGGTGACAATCAAGCATATTTACGAATACTTGAAAATTGACAATCCATATAATATGTTAGAAAATGAACTATTTTTAAGATAAGAAATTCTTTTTTTTTTCATGTCAATGAATATTGAGGTCGAGATGATCAATTTGAGGGTTTTCCAGTACAGGAACAATCTTCATTAGTGGGTTTTTTAATTGCACCTTACCCGTACAATATAAGGTTGAGACCTTATATAAACTTTTCCCTAATGATACACTGAGAATATTGTGTTTTTAGTTAAATTCCTTAACGTTCACCAACAAAAATTGGCTAAAAAAATCACAAAAAAGTTAAACACACACTCTCTCTCTCTATGCGTATCTAAATAAGAAGTTCTAGGTCCTATATAAATGTATAAAAAGTGGGAGAAAATAATCCACTTTCAAAAGTGCCAATTTTAGAGAATTTAAGGTGACATCTACAAGGACAAGGTACTAAAAAGTGTGTCCAATCAGATCTAGAGATCACATATTTTAGTACTTCTAAGGAGTCAATAAACATATATTTATCAAACAAAGAATGTGGTGTTCACCGAACCCCATAATGTTTTCATTGCATTGAAATACGTGGACTAAAAGGACATTGCCCCCATATTATTGTAAAATAAATTTCATATACCCCCTACGTTAAGAATTCTATGCATGCCCCCCCCCCTGCTGTATTTTAGTCACATCATTTTCCATCACTGTTTCTTTTTGCATAAACAACCGAAATTGAAGTTTTAAGGGCATTTGGGACAAAAATGCCTTTAAATAATTTAAATGAAATTCCTGTTTTTTCATTCTTCCCTCTCTAATCACTCTCTTCTCCTTTTATTTCTCTCTCCGAACACTCTTCTCAGCAAAATGGTTTTGAATAAAGCTCAGTTTGGTACTCCAAGTATCAAACCAATTCGGGCAAAAAAAAATTGAATTGCCATATCAGTTGTTACTTAGGAGTGTTGAACTAACTCCAAGAATAAAAATTTAAACCAATGTCGATTTAATACGTGAAGTGCCAAACCAACTTGGGCAATAAAATTTTGGACCGAGGTCGTTTCGACATTTTTTGGCATTTGCTTGTAAATTATCATAGGAGTTTGATGTACATTTCCTCCATCGACTAAAACCCTAGCTAGTAATATTTTCAAGACACTAAAAGTTAGGAATTGAAACTTCTGCAATATAGTGACTAATATAAAAGGAAAATAGAAGAAAATAAAAAGTGAAGCCCCTATCCATCTGCCTAAAGATAATGTTTTGGGAATAAACTCAAGGCATAGGTGGTTAGGGAGGTGGATGCCACAATATGATGTTTTTAGTTCCGTTCTTTTCATTGGCAGGGGATCCTTTCTCTAGTGATCTATCCAAAGGAAAACAAATAGAAGATATGTACCGCTTATTTTGGAACGGTTATATTTGTGTGTTTTAGGAATTCAAAATCCTTGTAAAGCAAAGTATACTGCAAAATAGTCATATTACTAACCATGATAGCTATGAGACTAAACTATATGTTTCATTTTCACTAAAGGATCTATTACATACACAAGATACTAATGTAAATATCATGAGTATTTCTTACATTTCTTTTTTATGCTATCAAGTTTCATCCAGGGGTAGAAGAGATGCAGAAATGATGCAAGGAATGGGATTGGGTCATCGGTGGTAAAGGGGGCGGATGCCTCAACTTAACGTCTCACCCTCTATTCTCAATGTTAACATATGAAAAAAATAAAAAGAAAAGATGCACAAATGACATAACTCTATCTAGAAGAACAAGAAATATCTCTATTCACAATAAAAATAAATGGCGTCTCGCCATCCGAAAACTCGCGAACTTACAATATCTCACTCTTGGAAAGTGGTGGTGGCGGTTTGCTACTCACAGGTCGAGCAGCAGAAATCAGACATCTGATACAAATTGGTTATCTAAAGGAATGGCCAATGCTAAGGCCTTTGGGGCATGGATAAGTCTAATGGAAAGCTATCATAATTTCACGCAGCAGGTGAGATTTAGCATTAATAGTGCAGACATAGCAAGATACTACAATGATTCAGGAACAATGATTCTCCAATGTATGGCCAGTCACCCTAACGAGACGTTGGCCTAGTCCTACAAAGCTCTTGGGGCTATATGATTTGGAATCCTCTCTTCATAATGTCTTTGCATTACACAGAGATCCATCAACTTGCAACACTATTAGATCAGTTCCAATCCATATATCTGCCCCTTTTGGATTAGACAAGTTGGTGCAATCGCCGACAAATTCCCAAAAAGTTTTTAGTCTCTTCTTTCTACCATGCACCGATCCGCAATATTCTTTAAGACATGGCTTCCTCCATCCCACAAAATTGAGGCTTTCAAACAGATCATGCTCTCTAAAGAGGTGCTCATAGTTGACCAACTTCAAAGAAGGGGAGTCTAACCATCACACCATTGCATCATGTGTGTAATAATCCTAAAATTTCAAAAAAAAAAAAGGAGGAGAAAATATGTTTTTAAATA